ACATAGAAATGATATAATTTGCAACTCGGTGGAATGCAGCATGCCGACTAGCGATCGTAGACGAGAATGCATTGGTTATATACAGGGTGTTTTGCACGTGAAAAAAACTACGGAAAAAAGAAACGGATCAATACGTAGCCACAAGTTATTTTAATATGCAATACAAATATACATACAAATGTTTTTAATATGCGTTTGAATAAATTTAATGAACGTATAACAGTTCACGAAATTCTTTACAATATTTATCCCCGTCTAATGAAGCTGATATGATAATCAATAATATTTGTCTCCTATTTCAGTATTATTTCCATAATAATCCACATAGAAATCACTTTAATAATAATATTGTTTTATTATAATTATTATTTTGTATAACGTTCCAGTGTTATTTTATGTTACATTTGCATAAAGAAAGATAAGTATAAGAAACTCGCATTTGATAACTTTCAAATATCAATGAAAGAGATATTTCTTTTCACAAAAACGCAAAACGATACTTATCAGATCTTAAAATCATAACGCAATTGTTCTCGTTTAAAATTCACATTTTTGCTAAATCTCTGTTAACGATGTAGATACTCGAAAGTTGTTGCGAACATTTGATTCTCATAAAAAAAACTTTCTCTACAAAGTTAATGCTGTGCCGCGGAGCGAGTAGTGTATATCGGGAAACTAAACTGGATACTTGTCAACTGTCCAAACTCACTTTGCCTCTGTACGACTTTTACAAAAGTTGTATCAAGCCGAAATTGATCGTCATGAGAATCTGGCCTGGTCCACATATGTCACCCTGTATATCATTTTATGTACTGTCACACCGTGACGTAGATTGGGCACTGCTGTCACTTGTTATGTGAAGCGATAGATGCACGTGATTAGCATCGTGTTATGTAACTCATATCCGATTTCACTGACAGGATATATATATTCGAAAATGAAGATTTTTACCATGTGTCGCTGGCGCAACGAGAGAATCTCTTTCGTTAAAAGGAATTTCCTCACATAGCACAAAAGTCGATCCAGACAGCATAGAACATTCCAGCAATATTACAGGAACGTTATAGAAGTTGTTGCAGTAATGCTGGAATGTTTCTGTGCTATGTATCTTTTTGGTGAAAACGGATATATGTAGAGTCTATCAGTATTTATTGTTAGAATATTGTGATATGAAATGTCTCGACCTCTTACTATAGATCGAATGCCAAAATATTAGATTATAATGATAAGTACTCGCTCAGTAAAAATGAAAGATATCTTTCTTGCTTACTAAAATGTTCTTTATTCAAAGAATATCTGATACAAATATAATATAACGAACAGTATTTATATCTTTGATCAATCACTTCGTGACATTGATCTTATATCGTCTTATTACGTTTTATATCACATTCAGCTTATCATTATCATCTTCATTATTATGTAGCATTCTAGCATTATGAATTCTAGCATTATGATGTAGTTTAAAATAAAATTTCATTTGATAACGGAACTTATAGAAATCGAATTTCTTTTATTCGATACTTATTTTCAAGAAACGCGTCATTTGTGCAAATTTGAGACAAATCAAGATAAATGAGAACTTAAAAAATTAAAAAAAAATTGATGATTTTTTGTTCATTATATACACTAAGAGAAAAATATAGTAATATTAATTATAAAGAGGGCAACTACATAATTAAATAAACTATTTATGTTTGTAATGATTATGAAATAATTTACTATATATGTGTAACTACATTAATTCTATATAAAAATTCAATATAATTCTATTTATATAGTTGTCACTTTTATAATTGTTACTATATTTTTCTTTTCTCTGAGTGTAATATAAGTGTGCTATCTTTATTCTTGATCGATTAACTAGAGGTACGTTCGGGGAGACGCTGTTAGCGTTATTGTTCTATCTTCATCGTTCTATCTTCATTAAACATAAAACAAAAATAGAATGACAAAAACGCACTAAATCTAAATATGATAAAAACAAGATTTCTTTTGTTCTGTATCTGATGGATTATTTGTCGTTAGCGCATGAAACTATCTAAAAAGAGATCGTGATATGTAATATCTGTTTAAAGCAAATGGTTCTTGCAGCATCCAAGCGTCGTTGTTCGCCGAACGCCTATACATTTTCGGAGCTCTCCCATTTCTTTTTTTTTTTAGAGCGACAGATAAGCGTTAATCTGACCATTTCTTGATCTAAAATTATCTGTCGCAGGATAAGAGTGGAGCACATGGAAAGACAACTGGCCAATCTAACCGGGCTCGTGCAGAAGGCACTGACACACGCGCCGCACACCAGCCCTTCGCCGCGAGAGTACTTGCAAGTCCCACCGGGACGTGATCCTTACGCGAGAGCAGCAGGTACGTGTCCAGTAAAATCTCTGATCTCGTTTCCTCCCCCAAATTTCTTTCCGTACCTTCGATTTCGTTTTCACGATAACGTCGTTTACCACGGTTTTTCGTATCGACGTAAGAAGGTTCGTCTCAAACGTAGCGAGAATAATTTATTAAAAAAAGTTTGTTTAGTTTGACCAGGAATAGCAAATTATAATTATTCTCATTACTTTTAAGACAAGCCGCGTAAATATCGTTATAGTTTCTCTTGAGAGATCTGATCTGAATAAAGACGATCGATTTAGCTGTTTAGTGATGCCACCTCGTTCATTCCCTTTCAATGCTTATTTTACAGAAAGTTTTAGAGCGCAATTCACTTAATTCACTAAGATAGTTTCAGCTAAGAAGCATACGAGACTGCTAGACACCTCATATAAAGTAGTCTCTACTAACATTCATCTTGTTCGTTTCATCCGTGCCTGTTCATCTATTCATCTTCATCGTCTTTCGACTCTGACATCTTGTAACCACGATTTCTAGTAACAGTATTATGCCGCAAATACATTTTAGAATCAATAGTAGAATCAATAGATATTGAGAACAAGGCGGCTACGTCGAGTTTTTTTCTAGGACCGCTATTTTTACTATATACTCTAAACAATTATAAATATTATATAAAACTTGTGAAAAATATAATTTCGAGAAAAATTGAATTTTTTCATCCTATTAGAACTGTAAAAACAAAATGAGACATAGAGTTAGAAATAAATATAATATCAGAAATATCCAGTATATTCATACAAAAAAGTAGGCAATAGTTTTTGATGTTTGTGTCACATTGTATTTTCGATTTGTGACGTCGTGGCCGCCTTTTAGATAAGTCAAGATTCGCTAAAACACAACTTTAGATATAAACGTGCATACGTATACATATGTGTTGCATACATACATGCAGATATACATATATATTAGGAGAATTTATGCCGTGAGTTTTACGCGCCAGTAACAATATGCCATTATTTGTAGCTAGCGTAATTAAAAAAATGAAATTAACGAAATTAGAGAACATTGGAGTATCACTTAGCAATATTTTCAGTGATATCAACTGTAATTTTATTAGAATAATATAGAACGAAATAAAACGCTTTTACAAAAAAAATAACGAATTAAACATTCGAAGTGCAAATTTTCTATTCAATTATTATCAAATAAAAATAAAATAATAACTTTATGTAAATTCTCTCGATAAATATTTAAAAAATTATTGATACTTGTTAATTTCTCTTAATGTACAATAACGAATCTCGCAAAAAATTGTCTTAGCCAGAATTTTGTCCAATAATTTTGCCAATTAAGCAAAACTGCGATCGTGATTGACTTTTCTCAGCGAGCTTTATTTCGAGTTTAAATACGCACGCTGGCAAATATCTTCGCGTAACAGCTCGGAAAGTCGCTTTCGAGGATACTGAGTCTGGTTGAATTCGACGGCATATAGTTGCGGTGTAGTCTCACGGACTGAACTCTCCTAAAACCCTGCTGTACAACTGCTTTGTTATTCCGACTAACGCACACACCAGGCGCCGGGGACGAGTTCGACAAACACTCTAGCTCCAGCTCTGCCTCACTGCCAGGTGTGTCTCTCATCTTCTTCTATCTTCTATTCACCTCCGAATCACTGTATAACCGCTACTTATATATTTACATACGTTAATCTTTATATATATAACATACAGATATTACAGTTTCTATCTATTTTTATATATTATATATATTTCTATATATATTTAACGTTGTCTCTACCTTTATTGCTGTTAATAAAACGCGTGTCCTTTAAAATTCAAGTGTCTCAACCTGCCGTTACAGATGACTCGTACTTAAGGACTGACGTTAAACCGCCAAAATTAGGCAAAGGTGCGCTTCAATATGTATACGTTTCTTTTATGTATGCATTTTTGCGAATGTTCGCCGCATTGTCGCCTTTTATCTCTTGCGTTGTCATCGTTGCACGTCTCGCACACACATCCGTGCTGTATTTTTTCTTCTCGCTCGTACGATCCTGATTTCATTGATATTTCATCAATAAATTTCATGGATATTTCATAAATTTCAATAGCATCAATATTTTCAAATTCTCGTTAAATCTGCTCATTTGCAATTGTTCTCTTTCTCTATTATTTTGCTTGTCATATTTATAATCAAATCGTTTTTTTTTTTTGGTAACTTCTTTTTTGTTTCCTGTGGGCTGAAATGCCATCTTAAAAAAGAGTACTATTGTTCAATTTATAATACGTTATGGCCGATATATGTAGTCGATTTTTATGTCTAAGACTGTCTTAAATACAAATGTATCTTAAGATGTTATAATTAATCACAGAGGTGATAGATATCTTAAGACGTTACTTAAGATCAGTGCCGTATTTAAGCAATGTATTGAGTAAACTATTCAAGTTCAGTAAATTTGAGAAAAAAATTTTTTTTAGTTAAAGTTGAGATAATGTTCATAAATAATTTAAAGTCACTAGATAGAAAGATTAAATTTGCTTTCTAATGTTATTATGTGAAATATTATTATTAATTTGTGCATTTTTTATACTTTTTGCTTTTATACTTCAAACAAAAAAATGATTTTTTTAAGATTTCGAGAAAATCTATTTTTAGTTAGTTTAATATAATTGTCTTTAAAAAAATTTTATCTAAATGACATTAATCTTAAAAGAGAAATATTTTAGTAAAATGAGTTAATGTTGCCCTATTTAAGATGGCCTTATAAAAATTGATTATGAATATTGGCTTAATGTTTCCTACAATCATCCATAATTTTCATTTGCATGGTGCACACGCCGAAATCTCCTCTTCATGATCGTTTTATTCAGCGTTGGCTTTAGGGGTGATTCGCGAAAGTATCTACCCGTAGCTTTCCAGAAGTAAAAATCGTAAAACGTAATTATATTATAATTATATTATAATTATATAAATTAAAACACTTACAAATTAGTTAGATAAAAAGTTAGATAAAAAAAATTAGATAAAAAGAGTCGATGAAGAAAGCTAAAGGAGAACACGAAGTTGTACTTTCAGCTTAATTATAACAGAGTTGTAAAGTGAGATTCTTTCAACCGAACGAGAAAGCCCGCGCTGGTTTATTCCTCATTATCGACATCCTGGCTGGATACACGCCTTCATATACACGCTTCTTACGCTTCTTATGCACATATACCACGCGAAAATATGCTGATCAACATCTATTGCAGACAAGTCGGTGTCGTTTGAAAAATCAGTGTCCTTCAGTGACGAGCCACCAGATATGAACTCCCCCAAACAACATTCCCCACAACATGCAGGTAATGGCTAGCGCACTTCACATTAAAAACAAAAAGAAATAAAATCGCAAAATATGTATGCTAAGCACGCTGTAAAGACCGAATTGCACCGTTGTCGGATCACTTATTGAGGAAGTGGTAGACGTTCGTCTAAACGCTAGCATCACAAAACGCTAAATTCGGAAAGAACTCTCGTTTACACATATAACAATTATCAAATATATGCGTAAATTTTTAAGTAATACTATTTTAATATTTTCTAATTCTTTTAATTCTTTAGATTCTATTAACATGATAGGACTGATAATGACAAACTTTTTCTTCTGCGCGTGCATTGAAATCCAATAGTTACAATTAAAAATCATAACGATGACGTCGATCTTTTCCTGTTGAAATAATAATAACTATAGCAATTTAAAAACGATAAGAATTTGTGTTATGATTAGTCGTTTTGCAATGAGCTGGAATTGAATGCAATTTCGCTGTGGGATAATATTGAAGTATTTGATCTCGATTGAAGTTCGATTGAAGATTGCCACAAGTAGCGAAGACCTATAATCACAGAATCTGTGTTGCTACTTTCAAAAACTTGCGAAATTCTCGATTCGTGCTTCACTTCCATTCGATCGATTAACGTGAATAATTGCTTGGTCACATTTAGTAATCCTTCTTTCTATTGCATTTACATAATAGATTCATAATTAATAATGCTAAATGAATCTGTTAATGCTAAATGAATCTGATAATGAATCTGGCACGTTATGACATATTTTTTTGTGTCGTTCCCGATATCGATTTTCGAACGCTAATAGCATATTCTTCAGAAATAACACATGAAATTTTTATATAAATAATTATCGAAATATGATTGGCGTTATATACATCTATACATATTTCACTACATCCAAAATTTCGTTGAGCGAAACAATATAATAATTTTTCCATTTTGAAAAACTAAGAATAATATAGAGTTAATACATCTGCATTTTAATGTTTCCAATTTAGGAGAAAAAGAAAAAATTTTGCATTATTCCAAAATGTTTATATATATTATGACATATATATTAATTTCAATCAACTTATACCATTATTTCGCCTAACGAAATTGTTTAATCTCGTAATATTATGTAATGTCAATAATTTTTGATCGATGATAATTAGAAATAAGTATTCTACAATACGATAATTCGTTTTTGCCACTTTCTATGATTATCCAGTAACGAATATCATATTCAATATTCAGTGAGTACGATATTAGTAATAAGAGCTCGATTTAATATCGTAAGAAGATAAAGGTATATTTATAAAGCAAACGATCCCGACACGGATACTAACGCAATAATTTCTAACGCCTTCTCATATTCGATTCTGCAATGCCTACCACAACTAGCGGATACAAAACCCACGAAACCGGCAATCAAATCCTCCACGTTGCCGAGGATGTCGTCGCAAGGTAAAACTTCCCCGTCTTTCTATTAGAAATGGAACTATTCGGCAATTTTCTTTGTATATTTACGAAATCTAATATTTTCATTAACATGAATGAAACGTAAACAAAACTTATATCAGAACTATATTTTCTCTTGAAATATTTTTATTTTTCTCATTTACAAATACCTCTCTATTAAAAATATTAACACTCTCTCTATTAAAGAGAAAGTATTCATATTTTTTTAATTAAGCTGTATTTAGGTACGTTTTCAAAATTATTCCATTATTCCAATGAGATAAAATAAAAATAATTTTGTATTAAGCAATTCATAAATATTCCATCAAAAGTTCTCGGAAATCGGATTTTATTACATAAAATTTTCATAAATCTTTCAAACATTCAAACATCTTAGATTATTTATTATTTGTTTAATACGATATATTATATATAATATTGATTCCAATAATTTTAAAACAGTCGAAATAATTAATTTTAAAATTTTAGCCGTAAGTATAAAGTACCCTCATTTTATTGCATTTTCTTTGAAAATACGGTAATGAAAGTCAAAGGAGAGCTAATAAAATATAAAAATTATTATAAAATATTATTTTTCAACAAAATTGTTTTTTAATTTTTTTCGTTAGATATGAAATACTTTTACATTTATAAATTTTCATAGAGGGTGCTTTATACTTACGACCAAAGTTGTATTATGTTATATCCGAATAGTTCCAAGTTCTATGTCTATGCTTTCTTCCCTATGTGTCACGCTATGTCTACCATATTTATATGTTGTTCACATAATGAGCGTCGTGTCGAATCTTCTTCGGTCGTTCCGTCGTTTTCGAACTCTCTTTCTCTTCCTTTTTATTTTCATTTGTTTCTCGCCTCCCGAGACGATACTGTATGGAGGGCACCGGAAAATTGTAAGTTCATTCACGATAAAAAGCTGAGACGAGCGCTGCTGCACGTCGACGTTGCTGGATTTTAAATGAATTAATATGTTCATTTCTATGTAAATCGATTTTCAAAATATGCCGTATGCGAGGAGAAAAAAGGCGAGTGCTGGCCCACAATCCAGGCGCAAAACGAAAAATAACTAAAACTAAAGCCACGTACGTACAAATAAATCCGTTCGTATGTGTTCATGTGAAACTACTCATCGGCAATACATGAAGCTCGCAGAAGTTACTTTGAAAAACATTTCACATTTCATATCAGTCACATTCAGTTACCGGCGAATGTTATTTACTGTCTCTCTTTCTCTCGGGAATTTTCTCCAATTTTTTTTTTTTTTTTTTTCGAGAATATTTGCAAGACATCGCGCGTTTGACCTCATGTTTGAATGAGAAATTCTCACATGCCTCTCTTTTATTTCAAGCCACACTCTAAAAGAGACCGTGCGTCTCTTTTATTTCAAGCCACACTCAGAGAAGAAGACAAAGCAGAGATAACAACTATATAGACGATAACTATTCAAATTTTATTCGTAGAATATACATCTAGTTGAATAAATTATTTTATTGCAATTATAAAATAATTTATTCAATTGTGTTAATTCTGTATATAAAACTTGTACTCATTTTATAGTTGCATCAATTATATAAAATAACTTATTCGATTATGTACATTGATTCTTTTTAGGCTTCCACGAGTACTTTCTTCAACGAAACTACGTGGTTTACGAGTTATCTGCATCTTGATACATCATTAAGCACCAACATTTCATGAACATTCTAGTTTATTAATTCTAATGTACATTAATTCTACATACATAGTAATTTTTATAAACAATATAAGAAAAATTCAAGGCTTCGAAATAAATCAGTTAAAATTAATTAATGTCTTTACAAGTTGACACAGAATAACAATGTGTAATATTAATACACAATGTGAATAAATTTATTCATTAAACAATATATATATATATATATATATATATCCGTTTCGATCTTAAGTTCGGCTCCTCTTCAGTACATTTTATGTATAATCTTTATAAAATTTGTATAGTTATCTAATAGTTGCTATATGTTGTAATTTCTTTGAGTGCACGTATCATTCATCGACGACGGTCGAGAAAGCGTGACAATGCCCTTTTTTACGTGCCCTTCATATATCACTCCGTTCTAACGCTTCGCGGCCTCACCGGTATGCGCGAGATAACAATTCGTGCGTTTATATTATTTTACGGGAGACTTGCGACAAATGCATTCCTTTGCGTTGCATTCGATGCTCGCGTGTCTATTCCTTTTTGTATTCTCCAGACCGAGTGATATGTCACGGCTGCGTATCTGCCGCCGATCACTCGGAAGCATCACGATACATCCGTCTTATCTCTCTACCCCCTTCCGTCCTGCCGGCCCTACTCGTAAATTCATCCTTTATTCATCGTATCGGGTATATGTATTTTTATTTGCCCGCAGAGATGCGCGACGTTGCTTATCATGAACTCGGTTCATTTGGGATTGTCTCACGAATCGTCTAACGTGTAAATTCGCGTCGCGAATTGTTTTCTCGACCTCATGTAGAACAGATACACCTGAACACATCAGTTGAATATGATTATTACGTAAATTCGCTTCTTTTATATTACACAAATATTTATGCGTTTTTATACCAAAATATCATATGATTTTTCATCTTATTTTACAAATATTTAAAAGCTGAATATTATGATTGAATTATTATGAAAAGCAGGACATTATGATTTTATTTATAAAAGAATATTTGTCGCTATAGTAGTTGTATAATAACTAAAAAAAGCTAAACAATAACTTCTATTATTGTCTTTTTTTTTATTTATTGTACAACAAGTTTAATAATATTCTGCTTTCTATAAAAATTCGATCATAATATCCAACTTTTAAATATTTGTAATGTAAGATAAAAGCTGTGGCATAATGTGAAATTATTTAACTTATTATTATTGCAATTGCAATGTAATAATAAAAATTATTGCTTTTTTTTTAACGTATAACAAATAGTGACAAATATTCTTTTACATATACAATCATACAATACTCTTTTTATAATTAATCTTTATGTAATTATTCTTTTGTAAATTCTATCATAATTCTCAGTTATTATTATTTCACTGCAATCGCAATCATAATAAGTTAAATAATTCTATATCGCAATTACGTTATGTTTATCGAGAAACCAGTGTGTATCTATTCTACGTTTGTTGCGAAAAATGGAAATTTGTGCATACGTTTATACAACGCGGAGCTGCCGGGAAATGTGATTAAAACGCGTACACAAGGAAATTGATTGTCATTCGTATATTCGCGCAACTCGACTTGATCGCCACTGAAAATATCATTGCGATCAGTAAGCGACGCCTGCATCCGTAAAAATAATTATGTTATTGTAGAGGAACGCTTGTGCAGCACACAGCGAAATATACGCCATGAGGGATGTACATACGTCACATACAAATATTCAATACGCACACACGGCCCTTCCATTTGACACAGCGTCACTTTTGACCCAGCAGTTAGGTCATCCGTTGTCTCCTTTCTTCCGTTCCTGTCGTGCCTTTCATCATCCGTCCAATAAAACCGCGGTAATAAAAATGACAGTAAAATTGTGTTGTGTCGCCGACCCATTTAACTTTTCCTGTCCTCTCATTACTGGACCCCGCTCTTCTATCGTGCGAAACAGTTGTGACGAGGCGTCGATCAACGATACAACGAGTGGCGAACGTCAAATTTAATCAGATGATTGAGGAACCGGTCGCGCACTCGAAATGCCGCCAACGTTTATCTATCATAACGGCAGCCGCGTTTTGTAGAATAGAGACTCTATAATGAAATCTAGCGTCTGATTTTACCAAAATCTTAAAGAGAGAAAGATATATATAATTTCTTCCTGTATATATACTATCTCACTCTAACTTATACTGTGTTTTGCTCTAATCTTAATTAAAGTTATAAGGTGAAACAAGTGTGAGTTAAAATGATAAAGTATTATATAATATGTACAGAGAAAATATATATATATTTATAACACACACACACACACACACACACACACACACACACACACACACTTTTCTTTCTGATATAGGATTTCTAATCCTTCGCACATTCGGCATGAAAAAATGACGAATGCTCCGGGACATTTGGCTAAGAGAAAGGCGAATTCCATTGTTAATTAATATAGAGAAAGCAACAGTTTTATTGAAGCATCTGAAAATTTAACTAGATGTAGATCTAAAAATCTTGGTCATAAAAGAATATAAAACACCTTCAATTAATTACATTTTTTTGAAAGATGATAATAAAGGCAAAGAAGGGCTAACAAAATATCCTTAGTACAATTATCAGATATTGTTGCAACAAAACCGATTTTTTCATAATAGTTTTGCAATTTATTTGAGAATTGGGAGGAATTTGATTAAATAAACCGTACTGCCGATTCATTTTATTTAATTATTTAATATTTTTTCGGATATTCTGTACATTATTCGCAAAAGGATTCGGCTGATACTTATGATTGCGCAGTCTTATATCTTTTCGGTTCCGGTCGCTCGCCACTTCGAATTTAAGGCGCTTTTCGCACGGGAGAACGAGCGGAGTCATTCGAGCTTAAATCCCTTAAATGTTCACGCAATTCGCGGATAATCACCACGAGAGACATGCGTTCTTACGCACTAAATGAACGATTACAGAGAGAGACAGGCACAAGCCGACACCACCGCCGAAACCGGCCGCCCTGGTGGCTGGTCAGTACGTGTACAGGGATTTAGCGCTCACACCGGAGATGTACAATCAGCTGAGAGGTCTGCAGAAGAAGGCGAAGGATCTTAGGCAAGAAGTAAGAAATTTGAGACGTATGTCGCAAGCCCAGGCCCACACAGTGCGTGAGACCATCAAAGACACGTTTATCACGATTAGGTAAGTATACGAACGTATCTCGCAATCGATTGAATGAATAAACTGACGAGATTTTATAATTATAATATAAAAATATAAAATTATGATATAAAAAATGCGCGACGTCATCCAGTTTTATATAAATATTACATATTACATATTACAATAATGTGTAATAATTTTAATATATTATAAACTCATATACAAGCTTTAGTAATTTTTATATATTGTTATAATAAAATTAAAACGCATTTTCTCTCTCGACAATGTTTTATAATAATAAAGGAAATACTGCTTAATAATTATTGATTGTGAATTCACACACAATTACTGCTGCAGGGCCATGCTATTATCGGGAGGAGACGCAGTTTGGACGGCTGGGGACACGGAGAAGATTCGACTGAGCCGCGAGGAAGATCTCTACAAACAGGAAGTGATAAGGCTGGAAAAAGATCTCACGTGAGTACCTCCCCAGAGACGAGAATGAAAGAAATGCCGTAATCAAGAGACGTAAACGAAACGATTTGCGAATTTCAGCGAGCTCGAGAGCACCGTGGAGGAGCTTCGCGGTAACGTAATCAATAGAAAGACGCGTGTCAATATGTCGGATGTGGAGAACATGGCTTTGATATTGAGTAAATCCAGGTAAGCCACGCGCGCGTTCAATCTCACTTGAGCAGAGCGTCATCATTGCCGTCGCGTAGTCGACGTACGTTGGAATTTTACAAATGATTTATGTGCGTTGATTGTCTTTTCTCTGTTGGCGATAAAAAATTCGTAATTCAAAACGGAAAATTTTAGAGCTAAATGACACGTACACGTGATAATTTTACAGAATAATAAATTTACGTTCCAGCAAAACTGTGGCCGACCTGAAAGTTCGATTCCCGAGTTTGCAAGAAGGTATGAAAGGTCTGCTGAGCTCCGAAATGGAAAAAGTGGTGCGAGAAGAGAAGTTTCTGAAGGAAGAACCCGAACGACTGGAGTCCGCATTGAGACGTTGCAAGAAACTCACCGGCACCCTCGTGACGCTTAAACGGTATGACTTTATTAAAATAGTATCGGAAATTTCAGTTCAAAAATTGTCATGTTTGTCCAAAGTTTATGAACGCAATCAAAAATTAACATCGAAAATTTTGGCGTTTCATTTACGATATTAAAAGCTCATCAAGTTAAAAAATAAAAACAAATTTATAGCTTATATTAAATGCAGATATTCTAAATTTTTTAAATTAATTTAACAAAATTTGAAGCAACTAGATCTCTAATCTTCTCAAAGATATCTTTTTAAAGATATCTCGATTCTTTTATCAACAAGATTTCAATTTAGATTATACTCTTTTGCAAACAGCAATTATGGTAGTAAATTCGCTTATGCTAATAAAATCTTATCAGATGAAGAAAAAGCAAACGTATAGCTTATTAAACGCAGGTTCTAAACTTTGGAATTAATTCAAACTTGATTAATTACTTTAGATGTTCAACCAAATTTTTTAAACAATATTAAATGAAAATAGATGAAATTGAACACATATGGAAAATACCATATTCAATCAAGGCAGTCGTGCCTAATAATATTTCTTATGAATTTATACAATTTCAAGCTAATTATGTGCCGATTATTTATCAATATATTATTAAGCAAGAAGAATCATTTAATTGAAATTGTTTAGAGATAGCTCGGTTCTATCGCAAAATTTTAACATGTGTTTTTTTTGCGACTAATAATTGATATAGATAAATTAAAACCTATATAACATTAAAAATTTTTTTCTATACTGATGAAACTCGGTTTCTGTCCCCCGCTTAGCTTGGCGTCGGTGCAAGAGCAGCGATTACCAAACGCAGCAAGTGTAGACGCCGAGGACACACCGCCTATAACACCGACGACAGCACAGCATTCCAAGGTAACCGCTCCATTGGCCCCGCTCGCTCGCTCGCTCGCTCGCTCTCTTTCTTCTCTCTATCTCTCTTTCTCTCTCTCTCTTTCTATCTCTCTATCTCTATCTATTTCTACCTTCGAGACCCAATCCTCCTACCGATCTTCCGCACCGATTTTTTCTTCGCCGTCCGCGATCCCTATGAAATGCACCTGTCCTCGATACCGGAAAATACCGCGCCACCCGTTGCATGAAGTGTCCTCTCGAGTTCTCCTCGATCAATCCTTGTGTCACGCTTGATTATCCATCGTTCTTCCGTTCTCCTGGCTTCTTCTCCCTCGAAGAAGAAGAAAAAGAAAAATCGGAAAGACATCGCGAGAAGATGAGGGTACGTCGCGGTAATCCGCGAATCGCTAATTCTCAATTAGAGTCTCGGGGGCGGTCTCGGACGAGAGAAACTTCGTCCTGATTGCTGAGAGTCCTTTTCCATAGGGAGTGCGCGTAATCGAGATGCAATTGGTCGTAAACGACGCGGATTTTCATTAGAGATGTATGATCCCGGCCACGAGAAACGCTCGAGAGGGTCGTACTTTCCGTCGCGACCGAATGCAGTAAACGAGAGATCCTACAATATAAATTTCCTACGTGCATTACAATCCTTCTTTCTCGTTGCGTGCACATTTTGTCGTGTGGCACACTTTGTCGCGAGTGGCACGGCACACGCACTCTGATACGTGTGATGATCGAAATATTGGCTTTCGTTAGGAGATGGGCACGTCGTCGAACCTTAATCGATTATGGATACCATGTTTCTAGAAGGGATGCATTATATTTTTCACAATATCAAGTTAACGATTAATATAATATTAAGTATAATTTTCAAATTATATGCCTTTGAAAATGAAGAATAATTATTTAAATGCATATTCTTCATATAGCTTGAGATTTTTTATTTTTTATTTTTAACAAAATTTTCATTTTTTTATGACCTTTAATTACTTCGAATTTTTTTTATAATTTGAAAAATTATGTCAAATAACATATTAAAATTTTTACAAAGATAAAATAAACTCCAAATATATATATATATATATATATGTTGTATCTATTTGTTTTGTTTAATATCATTAATCATACAAATGATTTTTCTTTACAATAACAACATAATTA